AATCTTTCCTACTTCACCCATCGTTTTGTTATGGCATTTTTGCAGGCCAAATGATTGTACAAATATGGTCATACAATTGCGAACGAAGTACCATGCCCTCGATCCTTATTTCTTAATGCTCTTGAGTTCCATGCCTCCTTTTAGTTTCTTGAACATTGGAATTAATCAATAGGGTCATCAATCAAGTAATTGTAAAGTTTTAATTTGACTCTTGAGCTCTTCCTTTACGCTTTTTTTCTTAATTAGACTTAGAGTCTCACTTGAAGAATTGAAGTACAAATCTTTTTGTTTTTTATTCTTTTACTTATATATTTTTTGTGGAGCTCTAACTTCCTATGTATTCACATATCTCTAGTGCCTGAAATTGCTGCTATTTCACACAAAAAATTATTGAAAAAAAAAACTTTTCATTTACACGGCAATAGGACCAAAAACCAGTCTCTCCAAAAAAAAAAAAAAAAAAAAGGCACTTCGTGCCATGTAGATCTGTTGCACTTTGCTATCTGGTCAAACAAATTATGTTAAGACTTGAATGATTCGGAATACATTTTGGCTGGATTTGTAAGGGTAAACATTGTGTTATTTTGTATTAAACAAAAGTTCTCATGGTTTAATTATTTATTGGGTTAATTTCACATACCTCCCCTAAGTTTTTTACAATTGTAGAAAGCTCCCCTCAAGTTCTAAAAATTGCACCTACCTCACCTATTTTCACTATTTAAGTAACATTTTAGGCACAAAAGGCTATACTTTTTCTGAAAATTCCTATAATGCCCTTAAGTTATAATTCACAACAAAAATGTAAAGGAAAAAAATGGTTCACAATCTCTGTTTCTTTTATCTTACTTGCTATGACTAATACCTACCCATCAACATCTAAATCACCATTAAATAAACATTTATCTTTGTTCTAATGTTCCTCTTTTATCTAAAAATTTTTTATGCTAACCATTGTACCAACTATAAACACTACATCAGATACTCAAAAGTTTTCCTACAATCTCATATCAATATAATAGTTTGCTTAATACACAACAATATTCATTAATATCCCTAAATTTTAATTCCATGGCTGCCACTTTTTTAATACAAAATAATCTAAACCATTACTACTAATATCAATATCCAATATATTCCATTGGCACAGAGTTCAAAATCAATCAAATTCTCTATATAGGAATAATATCAATAATTGTAAATCAACAATAGAAACAAAATGCAGTTATAAATATATACCAAGGACACTTTTTTTTATGGCAAGATATAAATATATACCAATGTAGTTATAATAATGCAGTTATAAATATATACCAAGATATGTACATATTTGGTTTGGTGTATATGATAATTTTATTAGTAGTGACAGTACACATTTGGTTGATAATAATAAATAAATGAGTTTAAAAGGAAAATGGATGTAGGAGAAAGAGGATAGGTAGTTAAATGGAAAAAGCTATAGTTTGAACTATTGGTTGATAATAGATGAGAGAGCTTTAATATTTGATAGAGTTTTTCAATGAGTTGACAATTAATGAAGGGCATTGTTGTCTTTTTATTATATCAAGGGAGGTTTCTATAATTATGTAAATTTCAAGGGAGCCGAGTGAAATTATTAAAAATCTCAAGGGAGGTTTCTAAAATTATCCCTTATTTATTTAGAGCTAACAATGGCATGTGCATCACTGGACTCTTCAAAGTTTCTTTTGATCGAAGTAAAATAGTCTTGTCAAATATAAATTAAGTTATTAAAATGGGCTAAAGGGCCTTGTGGGTTAATTTTAGGGTTAATTACATTTGTCTCCGTTAAGGTTTGACCAATCAATGAACCAAATCTTGAGGTATTACTAAATTACATTTGCCTCCCTTGTCAATAATACTGTCAAGAGCCAACAAATAGAACAAATAAAATGACAAATTTACCCTCTACTCACAACAATAAATAAAATTCACAAAAAAAAAAAAGAAAAGTTGCAAAAATAAAAATTGAGAGAGTTTAATGGAGAAAACATAAAGATAATTGAACAAAATAAATCTTTATCCCAATACCTAAACTTTTGATAGATAAATGAAAATATAACTATGGAAATTGTAGAAAATAATAAAAAGGAAGTTCATATACAAAAGAAAAATTAATCAAAAACTTAACATACAAAGAAAAATTAGTCTGACTTGAAACTCATTGCATGAAAAACAAAAACAAGTAAACTCGTTATTAGATACAGGAAAGAATAAAAAAAATTAACAAAGAAAAAGATTTCCTGTTGTCCATAGGTGCATCGTACTCCTCAAAACCTTAATTCCTCCTGTTCTCATCTTCAAGTTATCACTCATCTCTAACACACTCCAATTCCAAACTATTGCAAATTCATTCATCTTTTAACACCATAACCTACGTTCTCTATCCTCTCCCCTAAAAATCCACAAAAAATAGACATATAATTGCCGTGTACGAAACCAAATCGTGGCAACCCAATTCTTTGTACACATTCAAGAGAAGCAAAGCTGGCAAGACAGAAACAAGAAGTCAGCAAAATTTGATACCGGGAAAGCCACAAAAATCACATGCAAAACCATATCCCATCTTAGCCATGAGCAATGCACAGAATCTCTTCTCCACCTCCTCATAAACAAGGTTCGTCATTCAAATCTCATGTCGAGAGGACAATCATTTGGACTCAAGATTTGGTTTTGGTAGTTAAATTGCAAGATCTATATTTTGATAGGTATTGCAATTCGTTTTTTTTATTTTTCTTTCTTTTTCCTACTTTTGATTGAATCTAAGGCTGACAATTTGTGAAGAAATAGTGTTTTAATAGAAGAAGAGGAAGGAAAAGAAGAAGAAGAAGAAGAGCAAGGAGTATTTTTGATAAGCAACCAGTGAGTGTGTGCCCATTTAATTCCACTCTACACGAACAACGAACTATTGTGCAACTAACAATTTTGCAACTCTGTTGGTTTCAATCGCTAAGGAAGAGAAGAGTCAAAGACTTAAATGGGAATAAGCTTGTGAGAAGTTTAGGACATTCACTGACTTTTTCGTTTAATATCAAGCAGTCAACGTTTGTTGACTAACGATGGGGGCTTTTGTTAAGCTTTTGTGAATTCGAAGGGTTCTTCAGTAGTTTTGGTCTTCGAAGGCATTTTTTGTGTTTTATGATTTGCTAATTTAGAAAGCTTGAAGGGGACACCACACCAGATTTAGCTATTAATCCTTGTAGCTTTGGTTTTTGTACACTGAAATTTTGAGACTTAAAAAACGAAAAAAAGAAAAGAAAAATTAAAGTAAGACATTAAGATTGTATTAGAGGAAATACTAAAAGAGTAAATTTTATATACACGGACAGAGTATACTAGTTGATGTTTATTTTATTTTATTTTATGCTAATTTAGAAGGATAGGAAGGGACACCACACCAGCTTTAGCAAATAATCCCTATAGCAGGTCCAGTAGTATTCTGGACTCCAAATGCACCGCGCCAAAACCCCTACTTTGCCTGATCTAGCAAGCAGTGATTTTAATGGTAGCGACTCTACGGTAATGGAAGACCAAAAAGTCTTCAATTACCACTCCAGAGAAAATTGGACACTTTTGTAGTCTTGATTATTCACCAAGCCACAAAATCAAAGAAAAGGTATTCGTAACTTTCTCTGCACAACTCTCTCTCTCTCTCTCGACAGTTTTCTCAGACCCATCCTCACCGCCCTGCACTTGTAGGCTCTACTCCAACATAGGTTAATTATATTGGAGCCAAGCTAGAGATGGTTGAGTTTTCTTGTTCTCCTTCTTGTTTTTCTTTTTCCTTCTGATTTCGCTGGTTATTGACTGGATTCTATATGAGATGGTTGAGGGTTTCTGGATTTTTGGTTGATTTTCTGTCGTTCTGGTGGGATGCTGGGTATTCATGGTGAATTGGAATTTTTGAGTAGCAATTGGCGGTGGGTTTTCCGATTTATACAAACTTGAACAAAACTTAGTTTGTTGAATTTCAATTGACATTTGCTCATTTTGATGGAGACGATTTGTAGTATTTGAGATAATTTTGTGATGTTTTGGGGACTAGTATGGGTTCTAATGTCATAGGCTGTGGTTGCTGGCTGGTGCTTGGTGATGGTTTGGCTCCAGGGATCAGCCTATCCCATTACGAAGCAAGAAAAAAAATTGAAGAAAAAATGGAAATCCATTACAGTAATAAAAAGAAGGGTAAAATACATTTTACTCTCCTGTGGTTTAACGATTTTTCATATAACCTACCTATAGTCTCAAAAGTTATATATATAACTCCCTTATAGTTGGAACTAAAGTGTCAAACAGACCCATGAAAATATCGAAATTATTCTTGTTTAAAAATTAAAATAATTGAAATGATCAAAATACATAAGTATAACATGCACGACATTTTAATATCATATAGTTTTATAATTACGCTTTACATGGAAAGAAAGAAATAAGAGAACACTTCAGAATACCACTACACCAGCTGACAAAATAGTTGCTGATATCAACAATGACTGTTATTTCATGGCCAAGAGCTCCTCGCACCAAAGAAAATTGGCAACTAGTTTTGGAATGGGGTTTGCCCCAATCTTGTTTGTAGGATTAGACTCTTTAGCATGTAGTAGTAGTACTAGTCATGGTTTTCATTTTCTTTACATGATTAATGAATTATACAGTGTAGTTACACTTGTGACGTACATGTATATGGAGACTTCTGGCTCTCCTTTGTAAAGCTTTCCTGCATATCGATAAAGACCAAACATTTGCCTAAAAAAAATGATTCTAGGATATTAAATATTTTTTTTTGTGTAGTAAACATGCTTATATACGATGTTTTAGATTTCAAAGACACTGATATGAAGAACTTAATTTCAGGTGCAAAATGTTATTTTTACTTGCAGATTTCCTGTCTGAAGTTGAAGCTGAGGAGTCAATTAAAAAGTACACCAAGCCCTCTAGAAAACTCCTTCAGGACGAAATGCTTATTGAAATATTTGGGATTAAGGATGGCCATGGAGAAAATTCATGTGCCCATACCCATTAACGCTGTTTTGAGAACATTTGTTGTTCTGGTTGTGTGTGTGGGAGATATAGTTTACGGTGTAATGGCACCTGCTGAACACAGATCCACTGCAATTGCTGGATTTCTTGTCCAGCAAAGTCCTCCTGCTGTTGAAGCTGCTTGTAAAACCTGATGTCGTCATGATCTATTTTTTGTATTGTGTAAATCTCTTATTGTGGATACAACATTTCTCCTCTAGATTTTTTCATTGTCAGCAACAGGTTGTTTCATTCTTAAAGTAACTTTAAGACAAAGTTGTCTTTTTCTTTTCTGTATTATTTTCTAAAATTCTTAAGTAATTTCACTATCAACAAGCACGCAACAAAGCAGTAGCTGCCCTAACATTTGGACCCATTCTACCAGCGTCTCCCCGCGCGTGCGCAAACACACACACACACACATATATGCTTATACTATATAAGATTGAGTTTTGGTTAAAGAATAGGTTGAATTTCAATCGCATAGGTGGGGGTTTTTTGGGAATGTGAAATGTTGTGTATTAGTTTAAAAGGTTTAGGTACAACTTAAGGAAGCATATATTTGGGTATGTTTACTGAAATGACCCCATTTTAATACATTTAAAGTTATCATTAATGAGCCATCTAGGTATTGATAGAATGTGTAATTAGTGTGCAACCGTTTTTGCATTTTGTACAACCCATATATGCTTGTGTGTTGGTATAATTATCGGAATATCCCTTAGCTACCAATAATTCCCCTTTTCACCGTAGATAACCGTTTGAGATGTTACTTTGTCTGAAACGTTTGAATGGCAATTGGATTTAGGAAATGATCCAACGATTTCTCTATCAATGGTAGGAACCCATTTCTCTATTATTTATAATCTGCATTTATGAGCCACAAACGTTGGTCGGTTTATCCCCTCTCAGATTCAGGAGTTAAGTTTTCTCTTTTTACCTTTGTCTATAACGATTTGCTTCATCGTTTTCTCTTCCATCCGAGCTCAACTCTGAAATTACCTATTATTTTGTCATTAATTACATCCAATTCAATTGCCAAACCGATGGTATGTTAATGCATAAACGATTGATTATCAGTTTCTCCCTGTTCGCATTCTAGGATTGGGATAATTCTACCTGACTTCAAACTAATCAACTCAGAATACTCTTCAATCTCAGTTACTCCTGGTGGTTCAGAGTGAGGTTAGATTTCATTCCCACCCCAATTTTTCAGTTCCTTCCTTAATTTTATCGATGTGTTCTTAGTACCTACAACTAGCGACTCTTATCGCGTTGCTTAACTCCAATTGGTCTGGGTTGGTTATAATCTTATAGGTTTGGAGTAACAGCAAGTAAGAGCTCTCGGTGGGGATTCTAGAATAAGGTTAGCTTTCTGTGTTGCTCTGCCTTTCTGCATTATCAACGACTTTCAATTTGACACAGAGTTATTATAATGCTGTGTGAATTGATTGATTATATCGTTTATTTTTTCATACTAAGTTTTATTTCTTCTCATAATGTACTATTATTTGTTCAACAAAAAAACCTCATTCCCCACAGGTACAAAACATCGTGCGGGCATTCCCCCCTAGTGTGTGTGTGTGTGTGTGTGTATGAGCTTTTTTTGAGGTATAACAGTTTTTAACATGAAACGATATTTTCTTATCATAAATTAAACAAAGAGAATAAGAAGAAAAACTGCTGATCTTATTGTGAGTCACCCACAAAAGTTTTTAGTCCCAGAATGTTTAAGTGATATTTTTGAGTACTTTTCAAGAGCTCTTGAGGTTAGGTCCCCCCCCCCTCTCTCAAGAGTCTTGTATCTTTAATTTTAATTAGTTAATAAAATAAAATTTATTTAAAAAATAAAAATGAAATGTTTTTGGGAGATGTATAACTTTAGATCAGAGACATACGTGAGTAGGGCTGCAAACGAATCGAGCCGCTCGCGAGCGGCTCGAGTCGAGCTTAGAATATTAAGCTCGTTAGCTTGCGAGCCGGCTCGCGAGCCTGAGTATATATATATATATATATATTTTTTATTTAATAATAAAATTACGTATATTATATATATATTTTTTAATTTTTTTATTTTCATAGTAAAATTACGTATATATCCTTAATATTTTATTATTTATTAAGAAAAAAAGATTATTTTATTTATTTTTTTATTTTTTTCGAGCTCGAGCTCGGCTCGACTTGATTCGAGTCGAGCTCGAGCTTGGTAAAATTTAGTCGAGACCCGGCTCGATTAGCTCAAAGCTCGACTCGACTCGACTCGTTTGCAGCCCTATACGTGAGTACTCCATTTTGAACCCCGATTAAGCCATTATCAAAAAGTAGTAGTAAAGTATTACGAGTTGGAAAAAATATAGTTTTGGTCCCTGATGTTTAGCTACTTTGCAGTTTTAGTTTTTAAAATTTTGTTAAAAACAAATTTGATTCTCAATGTTTAGTATATGTGTAGTTTTAGTCCGTAAAATTTTAGCAATAGTAAATCTGGTCCCCAATATTACAAATTGGAAGCATTATTTAGGACAATTGATGGATTTTTTTTCAAATATTGACGGAATTAATCATGACAATCACATGTTTGCTGAATTAAATTTCTTAAAAAAGAAGCAAAATAACTAGTAATCTTGAACAATAAGAATAACTTACATGATAGAACGTTAGTAACTAATTATTAAAGAATATATATGAAAAACTAAGTATTATGATTTGTTGATTAAAGGTAATAGGATTCGAATATGAAAATGGATTCTAGATCGATGAATTGAATGCTTCGAAACCTTAGTTAATTAATTTGGACATAAGCAATTAGTACTTATTATTGTTATTTAAAGTTAGCCACTATTTTGATTCTTTATTTTGAAATTTAATTTAATGGACACATGATTAGACATGACTACATTTTGTTAGTATTTGAGAAAAATTCTTCAAATGTTTTAAATCTGCTTTAAATTGGATACACTGGGTACCAGATTTGTTCTTATCAAAACTTTAAGGACTAAGACTATACATATACTAAACACTAACGGCCAAATTTACTTTTGCTAAAATTTTAAAGACTAAAACTGCATTTTCCCCGTCCCCCGCCTCCCGCTCCCCCCGCCCCGCCCCGCCCCCGCCCCGCCTTGCCCCGCTTCTCCCGCGGGGTTAATAAAATTTTATTATAATTAAATTTTAATAAATAATCAAGTACTAAAATAGCAATACATCACCAAATTATTATTCATTATAATTTTACAATTGAAACTCATAAAAACAATCAAACAGAAGTTATTTGAATACAATCCAATACGATGAAATAAATATAACTGAAATAGTCAAATTTTCACTTTTAGTACAAATGCAATCACTAATTCATCTTGTGTTTGTGCCTTTTTTTGAGAAAAAAGTGTTATTCTATTAAGTATAATTAGAAATTTAGTATAAATGTATTAGTAAATTTAGTATAACTAATTAATAAATTCTATTAGTAGACATGTATAATTATTCATATAATTGATAATATCAATTATATTACATAAACAAATATACATTATATAATACATCTAACTAATAATATCATTATCATAAGTTTATAACTAATTAACTTACATATAATATATAGTCATTTATATATATATATATATATTTTGCGGGTGGCGGGGCGGGGGATGGGGCGGGGGAGTATACCCCCGCCCCCCGCCCCGTTTCTAAGCGGGGGGAAAAAATTCCCCCCCGCCCCCGCCCCACCCCCCGCCCCGTGAGCCCCCCGCGGGGCGGGCACCCGCCCCCATTGCCATCCCTAGTCATAACTATCCACTTAGTCGTACGCAGATTTTAGAGAATCCCACACAGAGATCAAACGAGATTTGTTTTGATACCTCCAAATCTACTAGATTGGTCCAATAACTTTTTAAATTGAAACTATGTGTTAATTCAAAATTATTAATAATCCATTGGACCGAAACTTATATTTCATTTCTTTCTTCTTCCGATATCCGATGTGGATTATCTCAGTAGACATTCACTTGCATGAACACAAAAAACACGTTCCGGATAAGATTTTGGGATAAGATGGCTGAATGAAAAGGTCGTTGGTGGTAATAGCTTCACTCGATGATTGGGGGTAGGTGGCAATAATTTCTGGTGTAGCCTTAAAAAGAATAGGACACTATAAAAAAATATATTATCATTTATTCCTATATATCTAATAGAGGAAATTTATGTCTCTTTTATTTATATCGCATTACTTTCCAGTTCCTTTTTTGGGTAAGAAATAAAAATCATATAATATCAAAAATTTTTATAGAAAATAAGAATTGATATATATCCAAACAAAAAAGGAGTAAGCCACGTAGGAAACTACTTGTCGTCTCGTTAAGCCACGTAGGAAAGAGAAAATATAAAGGGATAAGTATAAAAATACGACTTTATTATATATATATATATATATATATATATATATATATATATGATTACTTTGGATTGCTCTTCCTACCTTATTCATACCTCAGCCGTCCTTCTAGTTTCTTCTTCTACTCCTCATTTTTTCCCTTTTATCATTTTTTTAATTTTATTATTTAGACGGTGAAAATGATGATAAAGTTAGTAAAGATGTACATTACAAAAATTTTTTTTTTACCATAGAAGGCCATTTGGTAGTGAAGAAGATGATAATGGCCAATATAAATATCAATTATAAAGGACGCATATATCTTCAGTACATGGTTGTTCTACTTTTCTTTCTTTTTTGTTAATTTTCAATATTGGAGTTGATTTTACAAACCTTATTTGATTTGTTCTTGACTTGGGAGAGTCAGAATCTTCTTTTTCCATTAATTTGAGATATTCGGTAGATAAATTTATATTTGTTTTGATCTTTAATATTGCTAAACGAAAAACATTTTCATTTCTTTGGTTGATGAATTGAAAATTGCTAGACATTGTGTAAAAGATATTTCAGAATTCAGGGTTTTTGCCTTTATTTCATACTTCCTCATTATTAGCTATTTTTTTATTATTAAAAAAGTTTTTTAAAAAATCATCGAGCCGATGAACTGACTGGTTAAACCGATTTAAAAAAAAAAAAAAAGAACCGAACATCCACCCAATTTGTTTGGAAAAAAAAAAATCCACCTAATTCATTTACCTGTCCGACTTTGAAAACATCG